TTATGCCAGGGCAGAGGGCTGCCAAGTGCAGTATCAAGCTGTGAATTGCAGCCCTCGCTCGTGCATCTGGGGAGCGGCGTCTCCCTCATCCTGCGCCTGTGGGCAGAGTCTGTGCAAAGCGGGGAGAAACGCTGCCGCCCTTCTTCTGCCCTGCACTTTTCGGGCGTACTTTGCGTAAGTATAATAGAGCTGGGTGGAAAATTGGGCTGGAGTCTGTTCTCAGAGGTTGTTATTTGCCTTGTATTTGCTTTATTATAATGGAAAGAAATCTGTTGATAACGGTTTAGTGAGTTTTCTTTATCTGCAGTGAACAGTCTTTCACCTTTTTGGTGTGCTGGGAGTCTGGTTTTTTACAAGTTTATCACACAATTTATTTTAACAAGCTTTTCTTCATGGAAGCGTTTGGTTTTTGAAGTTGTTGCTCTGATGAACATTAATCTGGCTGGTGCAGTGGATGTGTTTACGCGGTGGGGATACCTATATTTTGGGCTCATTGCACAGCCATTATAAAGCTAGCAGCCCCGTCCCCTGGCAGCTGAATGTGTCGGGGACACCCCAGGCACTGTGCTATGTCTGTGGGGTGCACATGTGATATAGCCTGTGTGCTTCATGGCCTGAGCATCCCTATTTCTGCCTGATAATTTCCAGGAAAGAGGGGTGGGCTGTGGAGCACACATCACTGCACGGCAAGACACAGTGCCAGGTGTTTCCCATCCCTATTTGGATCAAGGCTGCCTCTGGCCTGTGGTTAATGGAGCCCACCAGAAAAAAGGAAGAAACCAGCCAGGGGTGGCCAGGGGTGGCTGGTTTCTGCCCTGGGAGCATCCGGAGGAGCTTGGCCAGGGCAGCGCAGGAGAGCAGGGAGGAGGAGGGAGGCTCAGCAGCCAGCAGGAGCTGCCACCGACTGCCCACGTCTTCCTTTGCTCACTCTGACCCCTCTGCTCCTTCCCCTCTTCCCCTTGGGGTACCCATAGGACACCCAAAGAATTCTGCCTTACTCACTAAGCAGGTCTCCATTGCCACTTTTTCTTCCTTTTTTTTCCTTTTTTGAAATATTGCAAATTTATTTTTTCTCTCTGATCCTTTTCATTGCACCGCTCAAGCACTTGAGCTGGCAAAAGAGAAAGAGGAGTGTTGGAGGGACTGCTTATCCCAGCCTCCCCTGCACAACAGGAGGAGAAGGATGGATGTGCAATTAAGAGAAAATAAGTCAAATAAATGGTGGATGTTGTTTGGCTGAAGGTCGAGCCCTATCCATGTGACCTGACAGAGCTGTGACGAACCAAATGCCTTTTGTGTGAGATACATCTCACTTTGTGAGTGTGCTAGAGAAAGCAAAAGCAAAATCTTGTTCTTCTGTAATTCACCCCAAAGGAGTGCTTCATCCAAAAGAGCAGAAGGCAGTGTGAACATTCTTAATTTACTTGCATTTTGTTTCAACAAAGGGAATTCAGGGTTTGACTGTTTTGTGTTTGAGAAGTTAAAGGACACAGATCAGACTGAGGTGACAGCTAAAGTCTGGGCAGCTGAACCTGCAGTAGAAATTTGTCCAAGTAATATTTCATGACAATATGTAAAAGCTCCCACTCACTAAGAGTATTTTATGCCACTGGACAGCAGATGAACTCTCACTACAAACCCAAATACAAATGTGCCTTGTTTCCTCCAGTAGCCAGATCTCCGTCTTGGTCCCAGGTTTCCTGATGCTCTCTGGCCTGTGATGCAGAGTTAATGCCTTTGTGCTGTACAGGACAGAAGCTCCATGGAGAGTTTTCATGGCTGTGTTTCGGTTTTTTCCCAGGGGAACTTTACTTCATGTCTACCGGCATACCAAGTGCCACGGCTCCCCATGGAGTGGTGTACAAAGTGGTGGACACATCTAGGTATGAGATGTTCTTGTTGCAAAGCCTAAGTGTGGTGCAGTGTGGATGTGATGAATGATGCTGACTGATGAACTAGCTCTTCTCCCATGCTGGGCCCTTCTGTGGAGCTTGATCAAGGAACGGCTGGAGCAACCTGTTGTGGGTCTTCTTTGCTCCTGCAGTCGTGGGAGTCTACACTGCCTGGTAATCACCAACTTGTTATGGGGCCTGTTGGTGTTATGTGGGTTGGAGATTTGTTCCTGAAAGCTAAAGGAGTATTTTATGGGTGGCTTGTCTTTCTCAGGCAAAGTTTCTCTAGACTCCTGCCCAGAGGAGGCAGTTTTTCTCAATGTGTTTAGTCTCAGTTCCTCTCCATCCCTTGTAGCCAGCTGCATCTCCCGTAAGAGCCCCGTGGCCAGGCAGCTGCAGCCGAAGCTGACCCAGCGTGACCTGCAGTGCTCTCTTGGGCAAACCAGAAATGAATGTCAAAAAGTACATTCTTTTTTGTGTTTCAAAGAAGAAAATGGTTTGGACAAGGAAATAAGACCATTGTTGCACCTTCTGGATCCCATGTGCACGTATCTTCAGACTGGGCAAAGCAGCGAATAGTTGTGTTTTATGGGAAGATTTATAGCTGTTTTTTCCATCTTCCTGTTTTTTAAGCATTACTATTATTGGCGAAACACCAAAATACTTTCAGCCAGACATGCAGAGTGAGACTTTCATAGCTTTTATATTTTTAAAAGGATTAAATTTACAGCTTTAGCTATCTGAGCATTTTGAACCAAATCACTCTTCTGTTTTGTGTTGGAACCAGACCCCGAAGTTAAACAGCCCGCAGAGCTGCCGTGTGTTTTCCTCTGACTCCTCCTCTGTCAGGAGCGTTTTCCATTATCTAACACAGTGGAAGAGTTCCTGTAAACTGTGTGTTAAGAGGCTGATATTACGCAACCTTTGCAAAAATAAATAAGCAGAAGTCAAAAGAAAGTTGTAAGTTTAAGTTTAAAAAGAAGTTTCTTTAGTATGTCGAGTACAGCAATATGAATAAGAAATAACTCATAGGAAAATTCATAAAAGTAGGGAATGTCCCTGTGGCAGTAGTTGAGAGGGGAGCTCTTTGCCTTCCACAGAAATGCAAATGCAAACAATCCTAATTACAAAGAAGTTATACCCTCCAAATGCAAACATCATGCATTTTTGAACCAGTTTGAAAACCTCTGAAGAAAGCTGCAGATTAACGAGCCAGCCAGCGTAGGAAAAAGTGATGATGAACTGAGTGTAACTTCTCAGAAGTGAGATATACCTCCATGGCAAACAAATTTGCGTCAAAATAATGTGTTGTTCAAAGAAGCAGCCTCTGTAGGAGACACTTAGAGCTCTTGTTTGAAACTAATGCATTTTTGGTACTACTTTTGTAGTTTGTTTGGGCTTTATGTACGAATAATAGTGTGTTATTTTGCTTCTCTGAAGGCAACCTGAAAACTTGCGTACACGACCTTCATGTCAGATGCTCAATTCAACATGTCTAGTTTTCTGATTTTTATTTTCAATTTGATGAATCTCTTTCTGTAATGCTTGAACCTGCCAATGTTTTATTTCCTTAATGGATTCAGCAATAGCAAGTGAAAACACAGCCAGAGGACTCCACTGCCTTGTGAATATTTGGACTTTGATCAATGGAGATATGTGATTGTTTAATTATGTTTTCTGCTGTAAGAGATTACTTGGATCATTTAAATAGACTTTTTTTTTTTCCAGTGAGCATTACATTCATTGAAAAACAATGGGAAGCAAAGGCTCACAATGCTAAGGGAAAGGAATTAATTGTACGCTGTATGTGTCCCTTTTTTCGCAGGAGAGCACCACCAGGAAAATGCCAAGTTGAGCCATCGCCAGTGAAAGTAAAAAGCAAGCGCATCCAATTTGTGCCAAAGGAGAGTAAGTGTCACTGTTGCTGCTTATTATTGGTGCATGTTAGCTGGCAGTAAATATAAACTCTAGGCTCGCACTGTCTCTGTGTGCGTGGAGACCACCCAGAACTTCACTCTTCAGAGTATCCTCAAAATTAATTCTTACCAGCTGTTTTGGATCTGAAAAGTTGGTTCAAATAAGGCATAAGGTATTTCCCCTCTCCTGGCCATGCGAAATCTTCTCTGTAGTTTCTGCCCCTGTACATTTTCCCTTTTCCATGCTACATGGTGTTGGTCTCTTCTCCCAAGTAACTAGCAATAGGACGAGAGGAAATGGCCTCAAGTTGCGCCAAGGGAGGTTTAGACTGGACATTAGGAAAAATTTCTTTACTGAAAGAGTGGTCAAACATTGGAACAGGCTGCCCAGGGAAGTGGCTGAGTCACCATCCCTGGAAGTATTTAAAAGACGTGTAGATGTGGCGCTTAGGGACATGGTTTAGTGGGCATGGTGGTGTTGGGTTGATGGTTGGACTCGGTGATCTTAGAGGTCTTTTCCAACCTTAATGATTCCATGATTCTATGATTCTACATCGTACCTGTTTCATTGCCACCAACTTGGTTTCCCCATAACTGTTTCTGTACTGTGATCCTGTGCTCGATGGTGCTTTTCAGTGGTGTTTTTTTGCAGTGCCTTCAGGTAGTGAGGAGCACTTCGGGAGCTGAAGGATATGATGGCTAAAGGGTTGGGAAATAGCTCATTGAGCAAGATGAGGGCTGAGTCATTGTTAGTTGTAAGTGAGACAATATGGGATGAGAAAACGCTCCCAAAAGAGTCTGCGTGATCAGCCATTCAGGTGAACTTTTGGCTTATCCAAGCCCTCCAGGGCTTTTTGATTGCTTCATACTGAAGTATTGTACTGCTACAGCTGGAGCAGTCAACGATGTAGCTGAATCTGCAGCAAGCCAAGTACTATTTATGTTAAATGCAAAACCCTAAATACGCTATTAGGATCTCAAAATTAGATTAGGCAGCATCACCTTTCTTTTCCCCTGTGCATTTTGTTTACACATGTAAGTATCTAGGCAGTACTCTAACAACTTTGTCATGAAGTTAATATTACTGTAGGATCTCTAATGTCAGAACACTTTTATTTAATTTTTAATTACATTAATCATGTTACACTGCATTTGAGTCATTGACAGTTCCTACAGCTTTGACTTCAGGGAGGAATGAGAGCACTCAGCACCTTGCAAAATTGAGTTTTTAAGGTGGAACAAGATCTAAGGCTAATTATTAACTGTTGACATGCCTGAGCATTCAGCACATCTTCAGAAACATTCTCCTTTGCAAGCTGTGCACGCAGTTTCCAAATATTATTAACTTGGTTCGTGTTCAGCCAGCTTTGTCTCTGTTTCTGCATTATTCTCTATGCAAGTCCAAAGTTCAGACTTTTAAACTACACATATGACTAAATCTTCTGGGTTTGTTTACAAGGTAGTTTTTATCATCAAATAAAGCTTAGGAACAGTGGGAGAGATTCTGCTAAGTGTCCAAGAAATAAATTCACATGTAGGTGAAAACCAGGCACGAAGATTTTGATTCGGAAGCATGCAAACAGGATGTGTAGCTGTAAATATTTTGCTCTCTTCGTTAGTGTTTAGCATGAATGTAACAGAATCGCAAATGCGGCTTGCATTAGCTGGACGCGTGCATTTGTTGGAAGTGTATTTAATAAATAGCTTGACGAAGAGTAATATATAATAACAACTTGATTCAGTGAGGTGAAAAGCACTCCCAGGTGACCATTAGCTTTCATGCAGCCCTACATATCTTTATATGAGTTCCAGGATTTTTAAGAGCTTTGCCAGATCAGGCTCCAGCAACTGAGGTGTGCACAGGTAAGGCTTTCACATTTGTTTCTTGCCTTCAGAACCTCAGCTTCCAAAGAAGGGAAGTATTTTCATGCCACAAATACAATTCCTCTCCAAAGAGCATTATTTGGAAAAACTGGACCGCTGCAAGGGTTTGTCTTTTGGGGATGATAGATATTAAGCACAAATAAGACAGTCATATTTTTTCTTATCTCTGTACTACAAAGCAAATGATGAATGAGAATGGATAAATCTAGGATATAATTAAAAAAGTCATGATGTCTTTGCAAATATATGTGACACCGTCCCAGCCCAGTAGATTGTTGTTCTGAGTAATTCTGAATTGCTTCCTTCTGACAAGCTAAAACTTATTTTTAAGCTAAAAATAGAGCGCATGTGAATAAGCAAGTCCAGTAATGCCTGGAAACTGTGACAGCAAAGAATTTTCAGCTCTTCAGAGTTCAAGGCTCTTTTATTTTTTTTCATGAGGAAGAAAAAACCCAACCCCAAATCCTGTTTTATGTGTTGTCCTGGCAACTCCGTTCCTTTTGCACATTCCAGTTGCCAGAGAGAATTGATTTTGAATGTTCCTGATTTCAGCTCCTCTGAATAAAGCATCTGGCCCAGTGGGGAGGCCGCCGCTCTCGCTCTCGGTCTGGTAACGATCCAATCATTAGTAATGAAGAGAAGAGCAGAAATAATGCCTGTCTTTAAAATGCTTTCAGCAGGGGAGAAGGGTAAGGTGGGGAACTCCTCTTCTGACCGTGAAACTCCAGTGCCCACCCTTTCATGGCCAGGCTGAGGTTTTGCCAATAAACTGCTTGGAGTTTCCTTCTTGGGAGAGGGTTGCTAGTTGGCATTAAGCCCTGCAGTCCTCTCTGCTAACTAAAAGCAGCCGACATTTTTCGCTGGGGAAACATTGGCTCGCCAGGAGCGTTGTCGCTTCTCAACAGGATCAAGTAAGCAAATTCCAAGAAACGAGTTAAATAAGTCAGAAATCAGCGCTGGTTTCATATAGTTGTCTTTAAGTAGTGTCTGTAGATTGACAGACTCATGGTTTCCTGGGTTTTTCCCCCAACAGAGCTTATTGTGAAAACCCCAACGCCGCGTCCGCAGCTGAAGGCCACCGAGGCCCCTCGGGGAGGCAGGCCAGGCCCCGACACCCCCCGCGCGCCGGCTGGGGAGTGGCTGGGCCAAGC